AATCCACTCGAGGCGATAAAAAGTTTTCCAGTCCCGTCAAAGAAAACCAAATCCTTTTCCTTTCCATCTGCGTTGTGTTGATCGACTTTATTTTCGTTCCAAAGTTCGGCACTGCAATTCAAAGATATCCAAATATGTTTTTCTGGAACTTTCGCCTGGAAAGATTCCCAGTTCATTGTGAATGCTGTCCAGAAATAAGTGCCACTTTTTGAAAGGAGAAGAGTTGCATCCCAGTTACCAAAACCAACAAGCTCAAAGCCAGAGAACAAGTGTAAATTTTTGTTCTGGCATTCTTTTTCAGCAACAGAACGATTGCTAGTTTTGCTGATGTCATAGAGAATTTGGACACTGTGATTGTACTTTCGTTGCAGTTCGCTATCGCCTGTAGCTACATTTGGGCACGTTGTTGTTTCAATTCCGATCGGTATCAATCTAGAGTCGCCGATTCCGTTACAGGGATCTACTATATCGGACGTCCAAGTCCAATTGGTACAAATTGGGGTCAATGGTTTTAGCTGAAACAAATATACGTTGATTGGAAAAACAGTCATGTAATTTAAGCAGTCAATTGTCTGTTTGACTATTTACTCCTCCTATAGTACCTAAACTCTAAACTTGGTAAGGGGCCCCCTTTTGCAACAGGTAGGGGGGTCGAGTAATAAAAAGAGATCCGTTGTCATTTGCACTCTCCTTGTGTATTTAACTATCCGGATGTTAAATACACAAATACTCTTCTCGTGTTTTTAACTATGGCTATGTAGTGTCAATCAATGAACTTTAGAAACTGTTTCCAAAAAAGCGAGAAATTGAGCTTCGCAGTTTTTCAATGAGCTACAAAACTTTCCTGTTTTTGCCAAAAAAATGAGAAAGCGAAAAACTGACGTGGAAAATAAATTGAGCCTTTATGGTGCACATGTAAACGAACCACGGTTGTCTATATGATTTAATTTCAGTTGTTACTCGGATAATTTTGAAAAATAAGGAAAAATGAAGCAAAAGTTTTTTGCTGATAGTTTATGGACTATTTGTGAATTATTACTCCATTTTCTCATAACTTTTCTGAGCTTAATTATTTTTTCTATAAATTTTTTTTTACAGTTGTAAGGGTTTGCAATTTGCCGGTTTGGATCACTTGGGATTACTAATGGAAGATAATTTTCTTGCTCTTACCGCGGGTATTTTGATTTTTTGAATTTTTATTTATGTTTATGGTCGATCACTGCTCCATAGACGTTATAAGGGAACGGCACAACTCAAGGATGTTGTCAATGCCCCGGTACGAGCGATCTCGTCTTAATCCCTTGTTGTTCCAACTTTCGAAAGAAGTCACGAACTTTCAACGCTCGTGATTTTTACTCTTTTATGCTTTATCTGTCACTTCGTACTTTAAATAGCGTGTGGAGATGTTCTTCAAAAAAATGAACAAGTTAAAGTTATTTTGAATTATAATCTCCTTTTTTGATCGATCACTGCCGCATAGACATTTCAGGGGAATGGCAACATTCAAGGATGTTATCATTGCCCCGATACGAGTGATCTCGTCTTAATCCCTTGTAATTCCATTTTTCGAAAAAGGTGACGGATTATTAACGCTTGGGTTTTTTTAAAATCTTTTATGCTTTTTCTGTCACTTGTATTGTTTTGTAAAAAATGAAATTGTTGCATAGCACAAACCTTGCTTCGCTTGTGCAACTAAGAAAAAATTTGAGAATATTTTTCGTCAATTTTACTTCAGTCCGATCATTGTGTTCTGTTTGACTACTGAAATTGAAAAAAAAAACCAAGAACTAATTTTGACAAAAAAGTCAATCAACCGTCTTGTTTTGCAGATCGCATTTTTCAGATTTAAAGTTGAGATGTCCATCCACAACACACTGAAATCCTGGAAATGCAATGCTGTACGTATTCAACTCTTTTCCAGCCTCTGAGGAGTGTGAACTAATTGTAAGTTGTCCTGGAAAGTCCGAATCATGTTGGTCAGTATAAAGGTAGCATCTTTTGTGAAACACCCCTAAAAAGTCAGATTTGCTGTTCTACGAACTAAAATTCCCTGCTGAGTTGCTTAAAATTATAATAGATTCTCTTTGTTTCACAGTGAAAACGTTCGGTATGCGTGTCTATGCGTGAGGTTGTAGAAAAAATTGTAGAAAACCACAATTGATGAAAAATCTCCGTTTTGTAGCAGCAATTCAAAAAAACGACAATTCATCGTAAATCAATTTAAAATAAAAATATGAATATAAATCCTAAAATATATAAACTTGAAGGTTTCTTGAAGAAATGGGTTGTGAACTAAATACAACAGTAGAAATGAGCTTAGGTCCGGGGTGGCCTTCTCACAGAAAAATTTCGGATAGTGTACACCATCTGTTCGTCACGCTATCTATTTCCAGCCGGATAGTTTCGTGCAACTCCTTAGCTCAATACAAATCCTAGTCTTACTCTTATCTTTCCCGTCTCAATATGTCTAGAGATATACTGGTTTATTGCGAAGTTAGACGAGAAGAAATTTAGTCATGAAAAATGATTAGTTAGTTTACATAACTAGTTCACACTGGTTCTAGAATTGTCTGGCATACACAACTCCTGCTGTGACAATTCTTTAAGTAAATTAGCTTTGAAAAAACTTATGACATCTCAACCAACAAAACTTGTTTTTAATGACCACTGTTTAAAAAAAACAGTTTTTTTAATAACAAGAAACAGTTTTTTTTCATAATGAAAAATTAAAATAACAACTTCAAAAACTATGTTTCACATACGCCCAGCAGACTATGGCTGCGGGAGAAAGTTTTTTTTTGTTTCTGAGAAAACTATAAAACAAACTTCTTAAAAAGTCTTTAACAATGTCTTAAAAATTTTTCAATGCATAAAATTCTTCAATGATTCTCTATTCTTCAATTGATTATCAATTATTTATATTGCATCAAATCTCAATCTAAAGGCAGCTTTGCAGTAGACACTTGAACAAACATTTGTTATCGCACTTCAAAAAATCAGGTCTTTAAAAAGTTGAAGAATTAGCCAACCCCTTTGGAATATTTAAGCAACAAAAGCATAAAAAAGCACAAAAAATAACAGAAGCATAAGAACTTGGTTGTTCAACAACCAATAACCTAAAAAACGGGATTTTAAAACGTAGATATGCTTTAAAGTTATCTATTGATGAGATATGCCTGTTGAAGAAATTATTCAGTAGCATTATATATTAGTTGTCGGGAAAATGTATTAACTTGAAAAAATTAGATATAGATTTGTTAACGCATGCTAACTGCGAATGTGATCAAGCTATTTTGCTGTTCAATAGTGGAGTTTGCCTTCCTTCTAAAAAAAGAAATGTGCTGAACTTAAAAAGAAATCAATAGTCAAACCGCGAAGAAATAATTTCAGCCTGTAAAATTTTTACCTGAAAAAAAAACGAGTAAAATAATCATTACGATCTTTATAAAATTCTGAACTAAATCATTGATTCTTGAAAAATGTGCGTTTTCTGTGCCATTTTTTTTTGTATATAAACTATAACTTAATTTAATTTCAGCAAATGAATTTAAACTTAACTTGCAAAAATTTCAAAAATTAAATTGCTAAAATTGCATTTTGGGTGTAATCAATTACTACAAATCCTGAAAAAGCGAGAAACCATATTGCAATATTTAATTATAGTATTTCGGTTCGGTTTCATTCCTTGACACTTACACACAAGCAACAGAGATAAGTTGTAATTAATTAACTCAGGGAAAATCAGAAAAAAACTCTTCATCGAAAAAAAATTATATGAAATTTGAGTTGTGAAATAGATTTCTGATGATTGCATCTTTTATCATAAAAAAAAACGACTCATGTTTTTATACGATCAATTTCATGTTCAAAATAAAAAACAGCTCATGTTTTTATACGTTCAATTTCATGTTCAAAAGAAAAACTCATTCAAGCTCTTTTTCTCGTTTCGTTTTTACTCGAAAATTTTAAGGTAGGTCAGTCAAAAACAGATGTCTTGAAATAGTACAAAGAGGTAATGAAGCGCTCATAAAAAGAAAGTTTAAACTTTATTTTATCACCCAACGAGTTTAAAACAAACTTTCTTATGTCGTATTGAAAATTCAAAAAGTTTTCAAAAAGAAAACATTACACTTACTCGATGAATGACAGTGCGCATCGCGCAAACAAACCAACACACAAAGCAAATTCGTGGTAACTGAAAACGTAGTTCCGATTGGTTTTCCTAGGCCAAGAAGGGTTTCTGGGCCGAGGGAAAACTCAGCAAGTCGTTTCACTGCTGTCAATTTTTCTGGAAATATGAAAATTATTGCAATAACACACAATTTCAACAACGAATTTGGTGTCATGATTTCAGATCAAGAAAGGTCAGAGCGAAAAATTGAATGACACTCATTTCATTATTTATAAAATAGATTATTAGTTTCGATCACGAATTTGTAAACTTTCAGCTGTGGGTAATTATAATAGAATGACAGGCCAAACCATCAAAGGGAAAAGATAATTATTTTAGTTATTACCTTGTTAGAAATTTTATTGTTTCGATTAAAATTTTTTGAAATTCCATCTGTGGAATAAAAAAATCAAATTATTTTTTTAGAAACAAATCTTTCAACTTAATGCGCCGCCATTCAATCTTTTTCTTAACGGCATTCTCAAAAATTTATAGATATTTTCTTGGGAGCTATTCTCTCTTCATACAAACAGAAAATTCTATCGGTTCAAAAAATGAAGTACGCAAAAATTAATTAAGATTCAATTGAAATTTAATTTTAATTATTTTATAAAAGCTACAAACTTGAGCAAAACATGCCTCTTAATTAAGTTCAGGTATAAACACGGCAATTTAATTTATCATTTACAAACAAATCTATTTTAATCAATTTTACTTCTTCTTTCCGGGTAGTATCAGTTAGACATTATTTAACTATAGACGATTATAATTCAAACACGAAAATTGAAGACAGAAAATTCCAAAAACTGGAACTTGATTTTTTTGAAATGTAAAATAGTGATGCTAATATGAACTGTTACTGATACTTTAATTAAGGTAGAAATACCTTCGCATCTCGTATAGAAATGAATTCTGTTTTCAAATAGAATTTTCAATCGTTGTATAATAACCGTATTGTTAATCAAATTGTGAAACATTTGAAATTGATGCTCGCGAAAATACTTCACAAAGAAAAGCAGATAGATTGTATTTTACAAATAAATTATGCTGTTCACGAAGCATTTTTTACAAATCTGAAGAAAAAAAACAGTTTGATACAAACAATCTTTTGGCAAAAAATCAGCTCAACGTCATATTCCTTCATAGATTTTTACCGTGTGATATACTAACATATTACTAAATTTAAATTAAATGCACCGAAGTTCTGGACATGAAGTGAATAAATTTACATCAAATGATTATAATCAAGTATGTTATTTAGTAATAAATAACCTGTTTCAGTTAATTTTCTATATCTGTACAAAACTTTGACCATTTTATCAATTTAACGCCACCAAAAGAATTATATTGTTCTTTCGAGTCATTAGAAAAATTGAATTCGAACTTAAACTCAAATCAAATGCACATTTTTACATGCAAAACACTTCTGAAAGCAACTATTCGAATTTTGAATCACTGTTCATTCTTTTGATTCAGTTTTTCTAATTATTACAAAAACTGTTTCCCATAACAATTATGAAAATATAAAATTTATATCAAATAGGCAAAATTCGAAAAGATAGCTAAATTTTCTATAACGAAATCCAAATTTTCAGTTCTGCAAAACCTTTTTTATAATTTCTGTTTAAATCATTGAATTTTGTATATATACCACTATTTTGCGCAAGTTAAGTGACTGTTTTGATTTTCAGTTTTATGCACCCAAAAACTTAAGTTCAAAAATTCGAAATAGTATTCAAATCGGACAAATTCAGAAAAGTTTAATTAAATTTCGCTGTTTTTAATTCCAAATCTTCAGCTTTGCATCCCAAGAGCCAGAGCAGACTGCGTTTCCGTCAGAGTTCACCCCGAGACACGAGACTCTCGCTTCGTGTCCGGAGAGGATGCCGACTTTGAGGCTCTTTAGGGTATCCCAAATGAGTACATCCAAGTCACAGGCTACGAAGAGAAGTCGACCGCTCTTGGAAAAACTGACGGCACCTGTTTAAAAAGAAAAACTATACATGTTCAAAAGCTTATGATTGACGTTCAAATTCAAATGATGATACTTGTGAACAAAGAAAACGAAGCCCCGAACATTCGGGTAAGAGCCTAATATATTATTATTATTATGATTACTATTATAGGTTGCTGTCATTTTGTTAAAAAGGACGTTTTTAACACGCTAACATGTTATCTATTAGAAAATAAACACGTTAGAAACAAAAATCAGTTTTAAAATCACTCATCGAGTTGTTTAAAGAGAAAAACCAGCTCTCCAGCTTTCTCGAGCGCTCAAAGAACTTCGGGGTTTTCCATAGGTGATTCCGAGAGTTGAGAAACACCGCTCCAATCTAGCATTGGAGGAGATAGCACTGGCCTAGTCGAGTAATTTTCTCGATGAAACATGAAAAAAGGACTGCATTCGAATTGGAAGCTCGAATTGTTAAAAACAATGTGTTAATAACATGTTAAATAAAGGTCTGTTGATAATACCTTGTTATTAAAATGACAAACCTGGTTGCTGTGCAAGAAGCACAGATAGTTCCGACCAGAGTCATCTTCCAACAACGTATTTTTATTTAAAAAAATGTTTAATTCACTTTTGTGTATTTTTTTTGGGAAAAAGCGTTATTTATTAGCGTCCCAATAGAACAATTTGATGTAATTCAAAAAGAGAATTTTTTTTGCAGCTCGTCATTCCGCTTGGAAAATAACACCTAAAACTCTAATAAGAAATTGGAGTATCAGAACTCAAACAGCGACAATGAGTCTTAGATATGATACCTTTTTGAATCGCGCCAGTGCATTCTTTTGTTTACAATTATCTTGCACCAAGAAATTCAAGTTCAAAATTTTGAAAATGTATGAAAGGTTAATACAGACTACGTCAAATTGAGCCCTAGTTCAAGCAAAGAAGCAAACAAAATTCACATATGGCTAAAAAAAACCTACCAAAAGAGTCCGAAAATGTTCACCTTCCTTTTTATGATTTAAACCATAACCTGATTTAAAATAATCACTTTTCAGTGTTAACATTCAGGGGCAAATTTTGAAAATCACGTTTTTTCCAGATCGACGAAAGATATTTCACAAACTTTCCAAAACACCACAAAAGACCCGATTTAAATAAAAATTACTGCGTTGCAGGCATAATTGAGCCCAAAATATCCAATTTGGGTACTTTTTTAGGGTTTTGACAGACATTGGTTTTCTGCTCGCAACTTAACATGTGCATATCTTACAAAAACCTTCTTATAGCCCAACAAGGTTTATTTTCAAATTTGAAAACGATTAAATGTTATAACTGAAGAACTACTTGCCTATTCCGTAATTGAGGTTAAGCTGTGTGTATGTTGCGACTGCTTGATCGGATCGGATGTCGTATAGTTTGCACGAGTTGTCATCTGAACCCGTGACGAATGCCCTGTCGCTCGGGAAAAATGCGATCGAGTTGATGTCTAAGTCGTGCCCTACAAAATGGAAAAACCTTATAAGCATATTTATTATCCAAACACAAAAATGTTCAAGCAGTTAAAATTAAAATAACCAAATTTGAGTCTATGAATATAGTTCAAGTTTCAGATTCAACTGACAGGACCTGAAACTTTATGCACTGAGGCGCAGCGGAGCTTTGCATCATTTGCACTCAGAGGCGAAGTTGTACTTCGCATACACAAGCAAAAAAATGACCGTCTACAAAATTTTTCAAGTGAAGCACGCCAATAATGAGTCTACATAATTGCTAAGTGACACAAGGCAATTATAACGCATTAGCAGTACCAAAAAATGTTGTCATGATTAAGTTAAGATTTTAAGCATATTATGCAATCCACAGAGGAGCATCAAAATTATATTTCCCTTGAAACTACTAAGAAATAGGTCACTAAGCCGATAAAAAATAAGCCGAAATCATCTGAGCAGAATAATGTTTCAGCGAAAAAAAAGAAGAAAAAATACGACGTCAAGGTTAGTAAAATTACAAATGGCCGAAAAACCGAAACACTAAAAGCATCCACAATGTAATTTTCGTATAACAAGAAAAAACAATCTGTGATGTGGCAACTAAGCCGAAAAATACATGCAGACTAATAATAAGTCGACAATTGTTTTTGAAAAGGAATATTTCCAGTTTGAAAAAAAAGAAACAGATCCTGTCAGATTCGAACCCAAGCCCTTTCCGTCCCAGGCATAATCGCTACCTCAGACCAAGTATGTCGGAGACGCGAATAAATTTGACTTTAATATAAACTGAACCTGAAGTTACCATTTCATATTTTGAGCATTCTTCGAACAAAGTTATTTACGGGGAAAAAGTCCAACACCCGATTGCAAAACCCTTACTTATCGCAAGGGTAAACATAGCCAACTGACAATTGGAAAAGAGTAATGAACGCAATGAAACTGAAACAAACTAAGACTTGTTTTTTTTTCAAAAATCTTCAACTTTTGAATTTCGAAGAAAAAATAGAAGGCCTTAAAGCTCTTTGAATTTGTAAAACATTTTATAATGGATACTTTTTTGCTACAATTAAAATAAATTGAGAAAAAGGGATCAATAGACAAAAATTTTTATTTCACTGTCCTATCTAACAAAAAATGTCCATTTTCGAAATTAGAAATCAATCACATTTTTCGTTACCTTTACATATTTACTGTTCGATAGTGGATTTGCCTTCCTTTTAACAATGGAAATGCACTGCACTTAAAGCGAAATCACAAGTAAAACTGCAAAAAAATCAAAATTGAGCGTGAGCAAATTTTAAGACATTTTCCTGAAAAAAAAGCAAGACCTATATAAGAGTCCATACTACGTTCATTACTCTTAAAAACCCTAGAAATTTAACATTTTCAGCGGTTTTGAATTTCAAACATAGCCAACAGACAGTTGGAATGGAATCAACGACAGCAAGGAAAAAAAGAAAGTGACTGGAACATAATTTGCTTTCCTTTCAAGAAACTTATTTTAAAAGGACTTTTGAAAAAAATCTAGGAAATCGAAAAAAAAGTTTTTCAACATTTCATCGGATACAATTTTAGTAAAAAACAATTTTCCCTAAGAATCAACGACAGCAAGGGAAAAAAGAAAGTGACTTGAACATAATTTGCTTTCCTTTCAAGAAACTTATTTTAAAAGGACTTTTGAAAAAAATCTAGGAAATCTAAAAAAAGTTTTTCAACATTTCATCGGATACAATTTTAGTAAAAAACAATTTTCCCTAAGAATCAACGACAGCAAGGGAAAAAAGAAAGTGACTTGAACATAATTTGCTTTCCTTTCAAAAAACTTATTTTAAAAGGACTTTTGAAAAAAATCTAGGAAATCGAAAAAAAAAAGTTTTTCAACATTTTCAAACATTCAAAATTTGAAAAAAAAATATCACGTTGAAGCTCTTTGAATTTCAAATACTGTTTATGATTGTGAATTTCTTCATAAAGTTATTCAATTTAGCAAAAAAAACTGGATCAATTGGTAATTTTTTTTATTCAGCTGAGAATTAAGAAAATTTAAGTCCATTCTTGAAACTAGAAGTCATTCACGTTTTTCGGGACCTTTTCACTTTTATTGTGCAATAGTGCAATTTGAAATCATTTTTGATTTTAACTAATGAAAAAAGTTAGCTTAAAAAATCAGAAGTCAAACCGCGAAAAACCAAATTTAATCGTGAACAAATTCAAATTTTTTTATCCTCACTAAAATTTTTCACTTCGTTCGTTGACAACTAAAAAATGAATTGAACAACTTTTTAAAGAAACAATTGCAATTAATCGAAAAAAAACAAATACTTTGACAAATAATCAAATTAATTTTACAATTATCAAGCTCGGATACAATTCTCTTGCTTTAAGAAACAAAATAAGATGGTACACTTAATGAAAATGCGAGAAAAAACGTTTTCTCGACAAATTGTGTACAAGAAGAAAAATCTAAGTCCCAAATTGTTTACAGGAGGAAAAGTCTAGTGCCCAACTTCATCAAACAATCCAATCGCAAGTGTAACAAGGTCTGCATGTTTTTTTTTGTTTCAAAATGCGTCATTTTTGTTCGTAGCGCAATGAGAGGAGCTGAAAGAAGTCTAGACCTTCGATATTAACAGTATATTAGGTTCATTTGACGGCAATTTTCCTCATAAAAATTAAAAAATAATCATAAAAATCAAAGACAAACTTTCAAATTTTCTATCTTTTTCATTTTTTATTTTTCAAACTTTATTTCCAAAAGCGCTAAAAAACTTCGAAAACTTAATTTACTGGGTTGAAATAAATTTTTGATGCTTAAATTGATTACTAAGACTACTATTTTAAGCTTATAAATCTATTATACTAGCTCGGAATTAGAATAAATATCAAAATTTTCGAACCGGTATTTCTCAATCACGGTATTTCTCAAACCTGAAAGGTTTTTAATATGATATATCACTGGACCCATTCCGATGACTATTTGTGGTAACTGACTTTGCATGGAAAACAAAAATAAAAACAAACTAAGTTCTTCGCCATTTTCAATGGTCGAAACAAAAATCGCCAACTTTGTTCATATTCTTAGACAGTATCAAACGCAAGTCAAACTTAAAAAAAAACATTAGCTGTGATGCTTGTTTTTTTAAAGTTTGACTTGATTGCGTTTGATACTGTCTAAGAATATGAACAACGTTGGCGATTTATGTTCCGACCATTGAAAATGGCGAAGAACTTAGTTATAATTTACTTTTTTATTAGCTGTGATGCTTGGATGTAGAAAGTATACCTGTGAAAGTCTGCTTAGCTACTTTGTCCCTGACGTCCCACAGTTTGGCGGTGCGGTCACAAGAACCAGACACGAACACTGTGTTGTCACTGGACCCTGCCAGACCCATCACCTCCGCCGTGTGACCTACAGCCGCCATGAAACAACAAAATGATAAATTATAAAAACTTGATATCAACTACGTCTTCTTTTAATAATTATGCGCCGAAGATTATTTTACGCCGAAATTGAAAAGACGCTGAAGGCCAGCTCGAGCTTTTTATTTGTAATTGTTGGAAAAAAAGGTTTGAAAAAACGGAGCACCAAATTAAAAGTCTATTTTAAAACTTAATCAAAAAGAAAGACTGATCAAAACGAATACTATCCACCTTAATCCTAAAAAATCCGCCTCAAATTACTTCTATATTTCTTCGACAGGATATTACACTGCAATGATGTTTTAGAATGAGTGTATGATGATGTTGGTAATTATCCTGTTGTTAGTATAAGTCCTGTGTTTGTTGTTGGGAATAAATTGTGATTTATCCCAGAAATTTTACGTTCCGTCCAAAACGTTGTTTTCTGCAAGTGTGAACTACAATCTTGAACTACAACTTCTTAGCATAAATTTTTAACAAATCAGGGTCGTATATTTATAGAGGACTTTTACAGGAATTTTAGTAAAAAAACTAACCCAATGCTCGAGACAGTGTCTAATCTACCTTCGCTAGATGTCCGTCCGAAATTCTGAATTATAACTACCGAGTATATATTTGGTAGCTCCGTAACTTGGTGGTAAACCATTCAGGGCGTTTTCAGGGGCGTTTTTTATGGAATTTTACTAAAAAAAGAACCCAAGGTTCCTGATTTTGTCTAACTCTCCCCCACATGGTTGGTTCTGCATTGAGTGGGACCGGGGCAGGGCGGATCTAGGATTTTCTCGAGGGGGGGGGGGGGGGGGGGGGGGGGCGGATTTTCAAAAAATTTTGACGACCTTTTTCTTCTTTTTTTTTTAGGTCGACCAAATTGATTTTTATTTTTCGCGCTCTCCCAAAGCACTGTTTTGCCCCTATTTTAATTTTCTACGCCGCAGGCAAATTTTTGAAAAAACAGTCAAAAAAGCCGTTTTTATCAAAAGGCCGCATGCTCCCCCGCATGAGGTCAAAAGAGCCGCATGCTCCCCCTCAAAAATAGCATATATTGGCGCCAAAGGCGCCTTTAGAAAAATTTTAGGGTCGGTCGGCCAAAAATGGATTTCTGAAAAAGTATCAAAGGGGGGACCCTTTGGGTCGGCAGGGGGTCAAATCCCTGAGGGGGGGGGGGGGGGTCCGGTCCCCCCCCCCTAAATCCGCCCCTGGACCGGGGGTTAAAATAGTGTCTAATGTACCTTCGTAGGATGTGAGCTTAGTCCCACAGTTTGAGTCCCACAGGGCGGAGGAGTTGTCGCCCGAGCTGCAGAGCAGCTGGGTGTCGTCTATGTATCGGATGGAAGAAATGAAACCTAGCAACATAAAAAATAAACACGTCACACTAATGCTCACTTTCTAACAAGTTTCTTTTCAAACAATGAATATCTCAGAAAAGCGCTTCATCTGTTGTTTTTCAACGTATCCGACAGCAGCTTCTGACATCATTCAATCGATCTTTAATTGATATAAGCACCATATCTTTGAACAAAATTACCTGTTAATGTTGGTTCGTTTTTGAATATAGAACAATAGGAGATTCGAAAAAAATAGTTCAAAAACGCATCAAACAAAAACAAATAAATATGAATATTGCACATAAAACATGGGTGATCGGCAGATGCGTAATGAGCCCAGAATGATCCGATCACTTTTACCCTATAAAAAGACAGTTAGAAAGATAGCTTTTCATTTCCCGCACAACTGGTCTTTTTAATCAGACCACCTTTTTGCTCACGTTAATCAATTAAAACTAGGATAAACTTGGTACGAAAAGCAAACATCAAACTGCAAATATATGCTCATTACAATTCTAACGCTTATTTTTGATTGACAAACTTAACAAATCGATACCTTACTTGTAAATTTGAGCGGTAAGGCAAGGTTTTAAAGCAACAAAATGTTAACTCGATTCATCTTACTCTGGGCTGTTTTGCTATCTTATCAAGCTACGCTCTGTCATATTATTTTCTTACCAGTTAAGAGTAAAAATGAGAAAAATTACCAAGATTCTGACTTTCGCCCGAATTTACAGGGCAAAACGGGAGAATTATTCATCAACGACAAAAACGGGAAACTATTTCCAACTACATTTCTTCAGGACTTTTTGGGCGGATTTGGAGCACCCATCGACTATAGATCTCGGAGAAACGAAGTTAAAACAGTTAAAAAGCGTAGAAACACTGGAAAATTCCAAGTATTGTGTCTTATGGACAGCAGCGGCTACTCGCTTTACGATTTATTGAGGTGCATTGACACTAACGAGTTTGAAAATGATGAAAAATAAAAAACTTGACGTTTTTCCGAAAAAAAACAAGCAGTTCACCTATAAACTTGGAGCTCTATAAAAATGACCCCAAAACTCAATTAATTTTGATATTTTGTTTTTCAAAGTGTTATTTGAGCCATCTTTAGAATAAAATTTTTTTCTGATTTGCTTTCTAACTTGAGATATGCTTCGTAAGTACGTCAAAAAAATGCTGCACGTGCCACTTAGCCAATAAAATATCTTAGGAATATTCTTCAGAAAAAATAGCCTTATTACCCTCCAGCTGATAATTTTAATAGAAACTGAAAACAAAAGTTTTTAGGAAGATAGGAACGTTTGCCACTCAAAAGTTTGCAAAACAAACTAGCGTTTAACGCACCTTCGGTGCTTCGAAATTTTTCGACAACTCATGAAAAACTGCATATATTGGAAACAACATCTGCTAACTTTTAGTGTACTCTGACTGCACCCAATTACAGGGTTGGTAATTTCAAACTTTTTTAATTCGCATTTTGAAAAAACCATAAAAGCGTCATCTCAAAAACTTAATGGGCCTCTGGAGATATTGGAGGCCAGATTTGCAAACAACTGAGATTCCCTGAGAGCACCCAACTACGCTGAAAATAAGTTTGTGCCTTCATCAAGTTGGTAGTTTCAAATTTTGTGAATTTCTTTGTAGATAAGTTTGAGAAATTTTGAAAAAATCAAAAAAAAACATCACATCTCGGAAACTAAAAGCATTTGAGCAGTCACATTTTGAGCAGTCGCAAGTGGCAAGATTTGTAACTCCTGAGAGTACCCTGACAGCACTCAACTACAAAGTTAAGAATTTCAAAGTTTGAAAAAACAATTGATTTAAGTTTCCTGAAAATTTTTCGAAAAAAATCACAAAAACGTCATATCTCGACAGCACCCATCTACAGGGTTGCGAAATTCAAATTTTGAAAAATAATTAATTTAATTTGTCTAAAAAACTTTGAAAAAATCACAAAAATCGTCATATCTCGAAAACTACAAGGATTTGAGCAGTCATATTTGGAGGCAAGATTCGCAATCCTTGGAAGTACTCTGGCAGGAACTAAATACAGGGTGGGAATTCCAGAATCTGAAAAAAAATAATTTAAGTTTTCTGGAAACTTTTTTGAAAAATCACAAAAAATCGTCATATCTCGAAACCTACAGAGAATTGAGCAGTCATATTTGGAAGCAAGATTCGCAATCCCTGAGAGTACTCTGACAGGACCCAACTACAGGGTTGGAACTTTCAAATTTTGCAAAGAAAAAATTAATATAAGTTATTTAATAATTTTTTCAAAAAATCACAAAAACGTCATATCTCAAAAACTACAAGGATTTGAGCAGTCATATTTGGAGGCAAGATTCGCAATCCTTGGAAGTACTCTGGCAGGAACTAAATACAGGGTGGGAATTTCAGAATCTGAAAAAAAAATAATTTAAGTTTTCTGGAAACTTTTTTGAAAAATCACAAAAAATCGTCATATCTCGAAACCTACAGAGAATTGAGCAGTCATATTTGGAAGCAAGATTCGCAATCCCTGAGAGTACTCTGACAGGACCCAACTACAGGGTTGGAACTTTCAAACTTTGCAAAGAAAAAATTAATAAAAGTTATTTAATAATTTTTTCAAAAAATCACAAAAACGTCATATCTCAAAAACTACAAGGATTTGAACAGTCATATTTGGAGGTAAGATTTGCAACTCCTTAGAGTACCCTGACAGAACCCATCTACATTGTTGCAAATTTCGAAAAATAATTATTTTAATTTTTCTAAAAATTTTTGAAAAAAACACAAAAAACGGCATATCTCGAAAACAACAAGGATTTGAGCAGTCATATTTGGAAGCAAGATTTGCAACTCCTTAGAGTACCCTGACAGAACCCATCTACATTGTTGCAAATTTCGAAAAATTATTATTTTAATTTTTCTAAAATTTTTTGAAAAAATCACAAAAAACGTCATATCTCGAAAACTACAAGGATTTGAGCAGTCATATTTGGAAGCAAGATTCGCAATCCTTGATAGAACTCTGACAGTAACCAACTTCAGGGTTGGGAAACTCACGTTTTGTATATTATTTTCCAACTTGAGTTTTCTGAAAATTTTTGAAAAAAATCACGAAAATCGTCTTATCTCGTTAACTAAAAGTATTTGGGCATTCAAAATTGGAGGCCAAATTCGCAAACTCTTGGGGAATCCAGACAACATCCCAATATTGGGCTGCTTATTTCAAACTCGATGAAATAACCACTAAAATCAAACTGGAAAATCGAAAAAAATTCTTAAACATTGCAATATACGATATAGCTTAAACGTGCAAAATTTCTTTCGTTAAACATGCAAAAATAATACGCTGAAAAAGCCTAAACATGGCGAGATAGTGAAGCCCACATTTAAATATATAATAGATGACAAAATTCTGCAGACTCTGAAATGAGTAAAAATAAAATACTTATACAGATCTGAAGTTTTTCACAAAATCTTATTGAAACAGTAAAAAATCTTTCCTTGTGTTGTTATTATTTAGAACGTATTACGGAAAAAGTTGGCTGTTTGATATACACAATTTAATAGATTAGCAAAAATCCAAAAAAAAATGGATAAGTAATGCATTTTACTGAAACGTAACAAAACATTGATAGCACAACCTTTTCAATTCTAATTTAACTGTTAAGTTGAATTTCTTGATCTGGCAAATAAAAAAATGAGAGACCATTGGAAAGAAACTAACTGCAATTAAAGCTGATAAGTGGAACCAAAAAACCAGTTTCTTTAGCTGTCAAAAACAAAAAAATCCTTAAACGCTTGTCAGAGCTGAAAATTCAAAAAAATGAAATTTCTTTCTCGGGAAATTTTCTTATATTAAAAAAAGTGATTTCATTACTGTATTATTTACAGACATTGAGCTACAAAACAGCAACAGGCAGTTTTCAATTTTTTTCTTCTCCTAAATAACTAGAAAAATGCCTAAACAAATAACCATTATGTCAACACTGAACCGTTTTCAGAAATGATTGATTGATGTTTCGAAACCTCCCATTGACCAATCACGACATAAAAGAGGTCAACATCATAAAGCACTTGACCTCTTTTATCTCCTGATGTGCCTTTATGTAGTAATATGTCCAGATTTACCTGAAAAACACATCCGAACACCAATTTACGCCGCCATTTCAATTGTTGCGATAAATCCATTGGATTCCAGGATAAATCCAATAACGTGTGAATAACTTGGGTTGAATCCAATCCAATAACAGACAGGAGAAAAGCCAGAAAAACAAAAAAATAGTTTTACACTAAACCAAATTATATCAAGAACAAGAAGAAAACCGATCAAATTTCATGAACCAATTTAGAAAAAATTTAACTAAATCTCACAAAAAAAATTGCTTTTGATCATAAAATAAAAGACAAGAAAAAAACAATTACTTTAAAAAGTAAAATTTTCTACTACAAGAGAAATCAGATAAAAGAGTAAAAGGGTGCAGTAGGGAGGAGTATAAAAGCTTCGAGGCCGTAGCGATTTGCATGCGCAGTTGATATAATTACTCAGTTTGATACGGCACGCATCCGTTAGAGTTTTAAAGGCAAATCTGAGAAAACAAACTTGATTCTAATTGTACTAATAGCATCATGCTACGCGGAACACATTCAACTAGGTCATTTCATGTAGCTAGAAAACTTCAATCAAAAAGAACTGAACTTTTAACAAGTAACATTGAGCAGTTTTAATGGAAATTATTAATAAAGTGAAACCTTCACACGATCTTAAATCTGAACCTAAAAAATTTGATGGGTAGGGAGCATGCTAACTTGATCCGAAAAAAAACCACAATTGCACCAAATTAAGACTCTACCACGGCATTAGAAAAATCTAATCGCAAAAAAAAGAGCAAGATTGATGAGAAAATGATATTGCTATCAACCGAAAAATAAACAATTTTCGATTTTTAAGCTGGATACTTTCTTGACTAAAGTGACCCAATTAGATCAAAACTACTTGTTTTCGCTGAGAAATCTTAACA